CACAGCCATGATTTAGCCATTATTTTTTACTGAACAGTATCGAATCGATTTGAAATATATCAAATCGAAAGTGCACTGTATCGAGGTATGTATCGTATCTGCAACTTCTTAATGATACCCAGCCCTAATATTATCACTATTTTATCGCAATTGTACGGTGGTGTAAAACATATATATAACTAAAAGCACTTAGATAGATGTTAGTTTACCAATACACTTTTTCTCTTATCAACATGATGCGGGGGTGTTCTACATGTATGGTGTAATATTAACTTGTTGCCATGGAGACACAATACACACAATAGCAAACACTGCCAAAATAAAATGTGACCGTAATGTCTCACCTGCTGTAGTTCCAGCTAAGTCAGTTCTTTCTGGTCAGATTGTGTTAAAAATAAAGCTCAGATTAAAGTCTAACAAAGGCTCAGACAGAGCAGTGCCTAAAATTAGCACAGAATCAATATTGCACCCGGTTTGATATTGCAATGTAAAATGAAATAACTGAAATAAATAGACCATTATAGTACAGGGACAAATTGTAATTCATTGAACTAAAGAGACGATTAAATGTCCATTGAAACTAAGCCTGTATAGTTTGAACTAAAATTGAGTATTAAGTCTTTTTTTATGTTCATGATTTTAAGACTGAGCCCCACTTCACACTTCAAAATCTAAACAAACATCAGGACCTGTACCAACCCACAGACCAGCAAATATCATAAATAAGCACGTGTATTTCTTTTCCCAAAGACAGTCATAATTATTTTACAACCAAGCCTTTTCCTGGCACAATTCTTGCCCGTTTGTGTTGACAAGGGAACTCCTAGCACAACCTTTCCTTGACCTCACCCCAAAATTCCTCCGCTCCCCCGCTCCCCATCATATCTGTCAGCCCTATGGCCCGATGATGAGCTAGGAAGAGATAACTGAATTTTATTGCAGCCTTTCAGTGATACGCTTTTTGATCGGCCGACTTTTGGAAAACTGAAAAGTGGTATTCCCTTAGCTGCAGATAAGGACAGAATGAATCAGTTCTTTGATGGAAAAACACATCTGACTACATGGGAATTATAAGTGTAGTCGTAATACTGAACATTCAAAGCAAATTTTGAGGCCAAGAAAAAGACGGTGTAAGTTTCTATACCAGAGTGGTGATGAAGTCCTCTGATAAAAACAGACTCTTGAAATGGCTAATGTAATTCTCCATACAAAATACTAGTGGTCATACTATTTCTGTTGTCTAAACTGTTGTATCCTTGGGCAAGACTCTTCACCCAACTTGCCAATGAATAAATGTAACGAGTGTGTGGTCAAAGAGATCGATTGCATAGATTGGCAGCCTCGCTTCTGTCAGTCTACCCCAAGACAGCTATGGCTACAGATGTAATTTACCACAACCAAGTATGAAGAGTCTAAATAAAACATACTTAAAGTGATTTTAGTATTTTGAAGGGCGCTATCTAAAATCCAAGACATTATCAGTATCCTATATTAGTACAAGCCTAGAAGCAGATGCACTGACGGAAACTGTATGTGAATATGACAATTTTTCTATCACACAAAGCACCATTCTCTCATCTCCAGCCTTGAACGATCAGAATTAGTCATGAGTACAATGACGGGTGCATCATATTAAATGAGAAGCGAAAAGCAAGGCCAGAAAAACAAAGAGGAAGGAGGGAGGGGGCAACTACAGCACATGGGTGAATAAAAAGCCCCATCGGATGACATCAGCATAAAGGAAGTGGTGATAATGAAAAATTAGGGGTCTTCACACATCGTAAATCATGATGATGCTACAAGATATTTAAAGAGGCGGAGCTAGAAGACTATATTTGTCTGTCTGCTGTTGAGGGAAAGTCTGGGGAGAGAAAAGGGACATGTAACTGATGACTAATATTTTAAAATTCATAAGAAGGAACAAAAACCTTCCTGTGAAATGTCCTATGCCTATACTTTAAAAAGAGCTTTAAGCCTCATCAAAAACATACCCGTGGTTCTGTTCTGTTTCATTCACATGTTTCAGTAACCCTTTTAGTTAGTCTGTCTACATCTCCAAAGCTGAAAATGCTCGGTGCCACCTTGTGATGTCATGAAGCTCCCTCTTTACCTTTAGTTCAGTAGAAATTGGTAATGAAAAGGCTGAAATCAAACACATGATTGTAGTGAAGGTGTATGGCTTTTAAAAACACAGTGAAGCACTTCATGTATTACCACAAGACATCACAAGGTGGAACGGGGTTTTCTGTTTGAGAGAACTCAGCCTAAATATACAGGGTTTATGCCAATGAAAGAAAACACATCTCCAGGTACAGTAGGTCAGAAAATAAAGTAATATGGGCCCTTTAAGTTATAGTTAAAAACAAAATTAACTTCCATTTTTGCAACAGTAATATCAAAATGTATTTATCTGCGATTCAAATAATTTGTTGCATGATTGTGTAAACATACAGTGAAATGTTTATCCTAACTGCTCTTCTATATTTCCATGTTCACTCATGAGTCTGTTCAAAAAACAAAACCTGATGCACTGAGGAAACTGGGAATACCACATGGACACAGAGACTGGGGCAGTGCAGAAAAATATCAGTGCCAAATATCAGCTAAGTTCTCGATACCAAACTGATGCCAATATCAGCTATAACCATTAACTCATCCCTATCTTTAAATCTTGATGATGCTACAAGATTTTTAAAGAGGCAGTAGAAGTTATATTTGCTGCTGTCCAGAGAAAGTGTGTGGGGAGAGAGAAGGAGAGAGAGAGGAAGAGGAGAGGAGAGAGAGACAGGGGGAAACAAGGGGAAACAGGAGCTGGCGGCCCACTCGGCACAAATCCCAAAGCTGGCTGGTCCAAGAATGGTCCGAGACGAAGAATAGCAGACATGGACTCAGCCAGGAAGTCTTAGCATGTCTGAAACCTACAGGGTACTTTTGTGAATGATTATCACACTGGCAAGGCAAAAGTACACAGTGGGTTGAAGGAACTACAAGAAAAGGCGGCCAAGATATCGTTGTTTGGAAGCAAGACACAATTAGACGACTACCGAGTATGAATCTTGTTATAAAGACAAAACAAAACAGCAAAAACAGACAGAGAATAACTTGCATCTGTGGGTCTTTTTTGAGGGGAACTGAAAGACCAAAATATTGACAAGAAACCAACTAAAGAAACTAGAAGAAAAAAAAAGATAATTGTAGTTAATGGTATAGAGAATGTTCTCATTGAGCACCCTCTTAGCTTAATCCTCCTGCACCCCTAGGTACATTTTTGTACAATGCAACTTTTCTTTTTAGCATAACTTTGGCCCTATTGCACCAAATAGCACCAAAATTGGCCAGTTTGTGTATTTGTGATGTATTTTTTGTCTCTGTGTTTTTTTTTTTCAAGTTCACATTAATTAAATGGTCTATAATCAAAATAATCACACCTGTGGTCCTGCAGTACATTTTTGTCCCATTGACTTCTATTCAAAATGGTTTTGTTTACTGGAATAACTTTGCCAGTTTGTAGTTACTTTTTGATTTATTTTTCATTCATTGATGTTGAAATGCCTTTAAATTTTTTAGTGTTTGTGTCTTTTTGAATTTTTTTGATATTTTTCTTTTTACTGTGTATCTTCCATTGCAAGGTTATAGCAATAGCAAGACATTTTTACATATTAGTCCACACTGAAGGCTGAGATGTAGATATTTAATGTAAAAATTATATGGGAGGAGTTTTTTGTTTTTTTTCATGCACATAATTTGAGACTTTCACAAACAAAAGTGGCATTTAACGTGTTAAAATTTCAAAATATTATATGATATTTGGTATGTACGATTAGAGCAGAAGTAAATGAAGACATTGATATAAAAAAGTTGGACAAAAAATGTGTTCTTCATAAAAAAATTGTGGTTTTCTTTTTCAATGTACATTTATGTCACGAAGGACCACAGGTGTAACTATTTTTAAAGAGGTGCACAGTGGTTAAAACAGGGATATTGTGACAGTAGCTCAGTTGGTAGAGTGTTTGTCCACTGATCTAAAAGTTGGTGGTGCGATTCCAGCTTCTACAGATCCTTGAGCAAGACACTTAACCTCACCTCCAGTGTCTGTGTACGCTGGTGTATGAATGTGTGTGTGACTGGGTGAGTTTGTTCATGTAAAGAGCTTTGAGTGCCTTGAAGGTGGAAAAGCGCTGTATAAAAATGTGACCATTGATCATATGTGCATAGTGCAGGGATATACTAGTAGTTTGCACACTATGCGAATGTTCTCTGTTTATTCATTCATTTCCAGATCCCAAAATAACAGGCTAACACATATTCATTTTACCAAACCCTATAGGCTATACCTTTCAGTCTTGCTCTATAAAACAGCTGATGTATTTCGAATATGGCAGCACAGACAGGCTTTGTGCTAATGTCACAAGTCTCCACTGAGCCACTGGCAAATCAATCAACCATAACCTCAAACTCTGGAGATGTGAGGGCTATAGGTTAGAAGTTAACTGGTTTATGCTGGCGTTTAAAGCTAGCCAGATTAAGAGGTCAACTTTAATGGCATTATAGTAAAACAATGACATCACCACGTTAGGAAAACTCCCCCCTAAAGGTTTTGTTTATTGTATTATGAATGACTAACAATGATAAAGGCATTCTTGACAGTCTATGTAAACGCATGTGATTCATAACAGAAGAGAAGCTGGATATTCAATAGGTTACATGTGCGTAAAGTTTGTGCGTAATGCTAAACTAATATTTCATGTCAGGCGCTTTTGAACATCCCAGAAAAAAAGAGCAGTGCGTATCCACAGTTCACAGCAAGGGGGTTGTAAAAGATCTAAACTTTGGCAGGAGTTTGTGATACAACCAATGGAAAGTTAGCAAGCTGCGAGTAAGATTGAGTAGGGGCCACGCACTGCCAGTAAAGTCATATATTCTTCAGATTGTTGAGTTTGTTGCTAAATGCTCAGTCAAAATGTAAGACAATACGATTCAAGAAGAGAACAGCTACTCACCTGGGCGATTCAGCCAAATAAAAGTCAACGGCATATCCGAAGTAGCTCCCCTGAGGTCCGCTATAAACAGATGGTTTCTCCACGTCCAAGTTGAACGCCTCGCAGACAGGCTGGGAAACAGTTAATAATAATAGCCCCACAAAACAAAGAAGAGAAGATGGGCTACGCAGGAATGACCTTACGATCTCCGGAGCTTTGACGTAAAACAGTCTCAAACCCATTTTCAGAGGAGAATGAATTAATCCGCTAAAGTTTGGTGAGAGTTGTGGTTTGGTCCGATGTATTGTTCCCAAAACTAGCGCGTCCCGGTGAGTGGAAGTAGTGGTTTAGTTTGGCACAGTGCTAAAAGCGCATCTCGTTTAGTCCAAGCGCGCAGTTTGTCATGAATGCTCCTTCTTCGGCTTCTCTCAGCGTTGTGTCCTCACTCCGCTCTGCCCGCGTCTCTTTGCGCCAGCCCACGCCTTCTTCACGCACCTAATCAGGATACATGGAGCAGGGAGTTCCCACACGGCCGTGACAAAGTTTGGGAGGGGCGGAGCTTGTGATTCCCTCAGAAAAAAAAGAAAAAAACTTTGAACTGACTCTTCACAGCAAGCATCTAATGTCAGTGAGATGTTTAACAGTTTGACATTGTGGTAAAAAAAAAAAAAAAAGTGTTGGTTTGTACGCCTTTTGCGCGGTCTTATCTGGATTATAGAGGACTGATTTACCCAAGAAACAAGGTGCGCAGTTTGACTTTTGATGATATCTGTGTTATCTCAGGTAAAGTAAGTTGACCATTGGTGATAAAGCAAGTAATAAATAACACTATACTCAAATTAACAAAGCTGTTCCTTAAAACGGAGATTAGGAAAGATTGAAAATTGACAACTGCCACTTCTTAGGCCTAATATTTCGAAATAGTGATTTTGAAAACTACCACCAGTACCATTACTAGACTTTTAGTTGTCACTCCAAGCCGTCTTTATCATGGCTTCGTTTTTCACATACAGACTTATGCCAGATGCCCATCCACATTTCCATTTAACAGGTTTGGGGTGTGGGGACCGCAGGGAGTGGACTAAGGTCACTCGTGGCACTAGCTGAAAGATGGGTGAAATGCAGAGGATATCCTATATTAAAAAATTTAATAATAATAATAATAATCACACAAATTGACTATTGTGAGCTTTAAGCTATGTTAGAACACTGTTACCTCCTCAAAAACCGTCTGACCTCACAGCGTTAGGATTCGTTTTCTCGACGGTAAGCGGGTACTTCTTAGGTACGTTTTTTATTTAACCAATCGCTGCTATTTGGTCGTGACGTTCGTAATGCGCCGCTAACTGGGCTAACTGGTGTATTAAGCTTTTCCCCAATCCTGTAGAAAGAAGGGCAATAACTTCTTTCCGCTTGATAAAATTCACCAAACATTCTCTTTGTTCTGGCCTTAAATGCCAGATCTTGGGAATCCTTGCCAACACAGAATGTATGACTTCATCTACATCCATCTCAACCACTTTGTTTACTGTTGTGTTGTACCAAAAAAAGGGACCCAGACAGGCGCCTGAGTTTGACGTCATGGCTTCACAGCTCTTCGCTGATTTGCCAGTGCGTGGTCTACAACTTCCGGGGTTCTTGCAAACCGTCTAGTGCATTCCGATTCCTAACCTAGTCGCTGGAGATAAATTAAATTGAGCGGAGGCACTAGGTGGTGCCAGCCTAGCTACAAAAAACCCAGACTCTGTACCCTGTTCATTCACACTTTTGAATAATCCTTTATTATTAGTCTGTGTACATCTCAAAAAAGCTCCAAATGCTGTATTTCACTTTCTACTTTGTGATGTCATGAAGCAGTAGTTTTTATGTTAACAACTGTCTTTTATTTTTGTTTTGAGCACTTCCTGTATTACCACATGATTCAACTCAGTCTAAATACTGTATGTGGGGTTTGTGTGAATAAAACAAAACACAACTCCAGGTCTGTTTGTAGTGAAGAAACATTATAACATAGATCAGAAAATTGCGTAATATGGGCATTTGAATCATAGGACCACACAAATATTAATCCTAACTACTCTTGACTTGTTATATAATTCCCACACGATTTTATACACAGCTATAACATTTGACCCTGGTAAACTTCACTCTCCCACCAAATCCAATGAGACTTAAACCACTTTTCCGGCTCCCATCTCGACGTGTGACCCATGTGTACAGAGCTTCTAATTACAGCATACATGTATCTCACTGTATGATGTGTTCTGGTGGGAAGTCCTCAGTGCAGTGGTAGATTTGGAACCTTTAATAAAGTGATCTTTACTCGCTGGAATTATTGCTTGTTGGTTTAGCTGATTCAGTCTTAAGCCTTTGGGATTTAACAGGGAGTCCAAATTTGGCTTTAGGGTGGTAGTAGTAGCAACATGAACTGCAGTCTGCGTGTGGGGATTGTATTTATAACTGGTCTGCTTTGACTGGGGAGTGATCCAGAGTGCTTGTGTGTGATATAGGGATATGGGGGTGGAGGGGTTGGGGGTATTCACAGCTGCTGGGGCAGACTGGAAAGGAAGAGTTGAGGGGGGGTTGATGGTAAAAGGCTAATCCTGGTGTACCTCATTCTCTCAACTGTGTTTTAATGAGTAAAAGTACAAACAAAGCAGTGCTAAATTGGAATACTTAAAGGTGTAACCATGTAACTTTCCTTTCTCCGTTAAGGTATTGCTTTGAAATATTCCACAGTATAGCATTAAAGCAAATCTATCTCAGTTGAGATAAGTAAAGGCAATGTCACCAGCTCATGTTACAGGTCAGATCTTTGGAGATTTCAATTTTTCCATTTGGTTGACCCCTTTTGCTTTAGAAGTTTGAACATTCCTAGTCAGAATTAGCCAGTGTGGTTGACATGTCTTGCTCAGAGACACAGTGACACTATGTGCTTTCAGTGGGATTTGAACCATTCACTCACTCATGTTAATTTATTGATGAACAAACTGAATCCACCTAGTGAAATAAAACTTTACTCTGCTTTTTTCATCATTTTCAACTCAATTTCACAGTAGCTTTTATATCTATTTGAATATTACAGGACTAATAACAGCAATTTCACATTGTAGTGGAATCAAAACACAGATAATTACACTAAAATTACTTGAATTTGATGGGTTTGATGAAGCCCTAGCCCATTCTAAAATACTGAATAAGATGAAACTGAGAACTTTTAGGTCTATACCAGATTGACTTGCAAATGAGGCTTTGTCGCAGGGCGTTGGCAGCTTCATTTTGTTTACCCATCGAAATGATCTGGAGCGCAAACTTTCCCACTGGATTTGTTTTTAGAAAGTGGCTGTTTGGTGGTCCACCGCACTTTTCATCAATTTTCATTAATAAAACCTGGCACACACGTAGGAGTGATTTACATGACTGGAGTTTCTGTGGTCATATAGTTGAGAGAGGGGGATTTAGAGGAGGGGGGAAGGATTTGTACGTGGATGACCTCATGTCTAGGGTTCAAGAAAAGAGGGGCAACGCTGCAGGTTAGTCAAAGATAATCCCAATGTTGACTAAACTTTGTCTTTTTAACCTTTTGTGACGCTATCTCTCTTCATTATCTGTTTACTCACCTATGTTAACCACAACACAGGCCTCAGGTGGTTTTAACATTAACTACAACTTTGAAGAGGCTGTACATGATTTTTTTGTGTAATGAAGTAAAATGTCTTTTACCCAGTACAGATATAGTGTAAAGTAGCTCTTGGGGCCCTTGGACTCTGAAAATTGTGAACAGCTCTTATAAAGTACCATAACTGTGGTGAATAATTACAAAGTTTGCATTATTAAAGGAAAGTTATAAGGAAACTGACCGCAACAAACCATACATTGAAATAATTCTGTTTTTCACTGTTTTAAAAGTGTAAAAATCAAGTACCTTTAACTACAATAACTGTGGCGAATAATTAGAGAGTTTGGATTATGTTAGGAAAGCAATAACTAAACTGAGCACAACAAACCATAAATTGAAATAATTCTGTTTATCACTGTTTTAAAAGTGCAAAATTCAGGTACCTTTAACTAATTGTGGTGAATAATTAGAAAGTTTGGATTATGTTAGGAAAGTAATAATTAAACTGACTGCAGCAAACCATAAATTGAAATAATTCTGTTTTTCATGTGTAAAAGTCTAAAAATCTGGTATTTTTAACTACAATAATTGTGGTGAATAATTAGAAAGTTTGGATTACATTAGGAAAGCAATAACTAAACTAACCAAAGCAAACCATAAATTGAAATAATTTTGTTTTTCATTGTTTTAAAAGTCTAAAAACAGGTAGCTTTAACTACAATAAAAAACAAGCTTGTTTACAACTTTATATTATAATCTACTTTTTCACATCACAGCTTTACATTTCTCTGAAACTAAGAGGATGTGACACAAGTGAGAAACCGTCAATCAGCAACAGATAATAGATGCAAGTGGTAACAGATATTCATGCAGCAAAACCAAGCAAAAAGTAGCAGCTTTGTGTTGATTTTTTGTAGTAGGCGAATCAAGGTGCATTCTGTCTGTTGTGTTGTTTCTCCAGGTGGGGGAAGGGCATCTGGTGTAATGGGCCTAGTCACTATTAGTTCACAGCTTAATGGCTTATCTAGTTGATCTGGTAGAACACACAACCCAAAACAAACGAGCCCAGGTTTGATTCACTGATTGAGAATATCTGTTGCATGTTTTTCTCACCCTCTATTGCCAAACACTGATGATGTTAAAGGTGCAACATGTAAATCCATGTATCATTTGTTCATTTGTTTTTCAAAATAAAATCAAAGTTAAGAACACGAGAAAAAACAACTATTTTCTTCATTATGTGTCTCCAAAACCAAAATGAAAAAAACAGATAACAATAAATTTTTTCAGTTTTCAATTTTGTATTTAAACTGTGATGCCGGATTTTGCACTGCATATGGACTGAACCAGGACTGATCCAGGACTAAACCAGGACTGAGACCGGGACTGAGATTGGCACCAGACCGGGCCGACACCGGAATTTGGTTTAGTCCTGGTTCAGTCCTGGTTAAGACCTGCCTTAGTCCTGATTTAGTTCTAGTGTAGTCTTGTTTTAGTCCTGGGATCAATCCTGGATCAGTCCTAGTCCTGGTCCCAGTCTCAGTTCCGGTCTCAGTCCTGGTCCTAGTCCTGGTCTGGTCCCAGTTTGGTCCCGGGCTCAGTCCTGTTCAGTCTATGCAGGCGCACCTCTGGGCCCGTCCCGACACTCCTGGTTTAGTCCTGGTTCCATCCTGGTTCAATCTGAACAAAAGTCCGGCATTGCAGTTTATTTCTAGAGATGGAAAATGGCCATTATCCATTTTTTCCATTACCATTTTAACACAAAATCGAAAACTGAAAAAACAAATCATTATCAGTTTTTTTCATTTTGGTTTTGGTTTTTTGGTTTTAGTCTGAAAACGAATGAACGAATGTTA